CAAGTTGTCATCTGACCTCCACATGCCCTCCCCCAAAATAAACACATGCAGTTTTTAATGTTTTATAAAGAAATAGCTTGGTGGCTGCAGTTAATCACTATTCATTATGCACTTGCAAAAGCTGAGAGAGAAGGTGTCAAGTGTTCTGGCCATAAGATTAAACAAACAAAAAGAATGCAGGTATGGCAGCACATAAAAGTCCCAGCATCTGAGAGGCAGAAGCAGCTATTCCAGGCCAGCATGGTCCACCTAGTGAATTCCAGGACATCCAGGGCGACTTAGCAAGATGCTAGCTCAAAAAGGAGGAGGGGGAGAGGAAGAAGAAGAATAAGGAGAAGGAGAAGGAGAAGGAGAAGGAGAAGGAGAAGGAGAAGGAGAGAAATATTTTAGGCCATACATATATTAACTAGCCATGTTTAACTATTTTATAAATTATGCTTATTTCAAAATATCAGGATGTACATGATAAATACATGCAATACATATTTTTCAATTAAAAAGGAAGGAAAAGTCAAGTGGTTTCCCCAAGGACTGTCACTCTCCAGTGTCCAGAAAAGTAAACGGGGCTCTTCTGGGGCTTTAGCTATGAGCCAGCCCTGTGATGACGTATTACTACTCATCCACATAGAAAAGAGAAAGGGTCCTCTGCATCCCACCCATCCTTAGAACAGAAAACAAAGGAAGAAAACTTGAACACCAAACACCAGATCTTGCATATGAACAAGTAAGAAACTTATTTTTCTGACTCCCTATGCTGAAGCTCCTTAGATTTAAAAGGGGAGAGAGAGAGAGAGAGAGAGAGAGAGAGAGAGAGAGAGAGAGAGAGAGAGAGAGAGAGATCAAAAGCAATCTTCATAGAGTCTCTCTCAGGAGAAATGACCTACTTCAGCTGACATTACTCCCCGTCGCTGCCCTGAGCCTTGGGAATTACCTTGTCCGTGTGTTTTCATTCAGAATGGATGCTTTAATATATTTCTTTAATCATCTGTTGCATCTGAGAACATTGTTTCATGCATATTAAAGAGTCGAGCATGTAAAAGACGGGTACTCTGACTAATAAATGCACTCAAAGCATGTCACTGCTCTTATTGCCTTTCTTAGCTGCAGGATAGATGTGTTTTATTTGGCAACTAATAATAATAAGAACGAGGATGGGGTTGAGAATGACATTAGCACTTCTGTTAAGCAAAGGGAAGTGTTTTATTTAAAGATGGTGTTGGGGCTTGCAAAGATGGTCACCTTTGGAGGATTCAGTCTGTACCTTCTTCCCAGAGTGCTTCATCCCCTACTCAGGAACATCAGGCTGCAAATGCAAGAAGCTTCTGTGTGTCTAGCATGAGGCTGTGTGAAAATGTTAAGATGGAGCTTCCACCTGGTTTGGATATTTAATACTTACATGAACTCAGGGTTGAGAGATACAAACCACACGCTCCAGGGAAAGACTAAGGGGAAAAGGAATTGCAGAGGGTTAGGGCTGCATGGAGTTTAGTCAAAAGGGAAAGGCTTGGAAGGCTGAACTGGAAGCTTCTGGAAGGGAGAAGGAGTTTCAAGAAAGGAACAATTTGGGTTGCAGTTCAATGAGCATTTGCTGTTGCACTCACTCATCTGTGACACAGTCACTAAGATAAATGACATGGTCCCCGTGACAAAGTTAAAGGTGGAACTGACTATAAGGAAACTATTTCAACTATTTCAAATGTGGGACGGGAGCCAGGTTAAAGTAAGCATGCATAGTATGCTACCTGATGTCCAAGGAGGGTCACGTGATACAGCTGGGTAGGCACACAGGAGGGCAAAATAGTTTCTCACAGTTGTTATGTCTATCAGTAATCTTACAAGAGGAATTTTAAGACAAGAAGGAATTATTTAGTATTTGATGGGAACTGAGATCCTAGGTAGATGGAATTATTTGGTGAAGGATAGAAGAAAGAAATGCTATACTGGCCTTCATAAATGTACAATTACCACATTAATCAATTTAAAGAAAGCTTGAGGAACTGGAAATGCTAACCAGTCCATTTGTTTCTATCATATGCTATATATATGTATCAAATTATTCTACCTATCCCATGGTTTTCTGTAATTGAAATAACCATAAGTGTGAAAAAGCACTTTTTAAAATTGGTGTCTTACTTTAGTGTGCTGGAGACACTCTCAAGTGAAGAATGGAGGCACAGGCTGGGACTAAGCTGGGGGAATGCGGGTCCACTTTAGTAGGAGATTCTGACTTTGATGGCGACAGGACATAAATGCTTTACCTGGGAGAAAGAAGGCTTGATGAGTGAGCAGGCTGGTGAGGAGGTGTTGAAAGGCAGCAAGGTAAGGAGGAGAAAGCGGAGGTAACACCGATTGATTCTCTCCAAGACGTTGGGGTTGATCTGGAAGGCCATCGGGGTTCATGGTTTTGTCCTGGCATTCTTATTGTGAGGCTCATGTGATGTGAGTCTCCGGTCATGTGATGCAAGGCACCTAGATGATCATATTAAGTTGCATGAACAGGGCCATCAAAACCATTGGCTCCAAATTAGCCAGTAGCACAGAACTACTAGAAGGTGATGCAATACTTGATGAGATCGCTAATGCCAACTTTTTTAGCTTTGTCTGTCGTTGATGTGCTTGGTTTCCTTGTACCATTTAGCATTTTTGTGCTCAAACCTGAATTTCATAGTTAGTGTTTCTAAATTTTAAATTCTTTAATAACCTCAACAAATTACATTAACCCAGACCATGTCACAATTGTGAAAAACTTGAGAATATTGTCTTCCTTTTTATACTTACATAAACCAAGAAAATGGAAATATATGAGAGACTGTGCATGAACTATTTCATTGTGGTCAATAATGATTTGAATGAGAAATGTGCCCCATAGTCTCTGGCATTTGAATAGTTGGTCTGCAGTTGGTGGCACTGTTTGGGGCAGTTTAGGGGATGTGGCCTTGCTAGAGAAATTATGTCCCCAGGGTTGGGCTTTGGGATTTCAAAGCCTCTCACAATTCCCAGTTCATTCTCTTTGCTTTGTGCTTGTGGTTCAAAATGTGAGCCCTCAGCTTCCTGCTCCTGCCACTGTTTTTTCACGCTGCCATCATGGACCTTAGCTTTCTGGAACTGTCAGCCCAAGTGAACTGTTCTATAAGCTATCTCAGCCACAGTATTTCACCACAGCAATAGAAATGGAGCTAATACACGGTCTCTTTCTAGGATTCCGACAGTAAAACCACACAATCTTGTCATGCGGTTGATTATGAAATTCTCTTAAAGCTTTCTCTTAAAAACTTGCTTGGAATGGATGGTATAACTAATGTCAATTTCTTGTATTACTTCAGGACTTATTGGTGAAATAGAATGCGCTGGCATTTAGAGCTCTTATACATCCCAAGGATAAGTAATGAAGTGTCAGCATGATAGTCCAGTATGGTGGTACACATCCACAATCCCAGCACTCAAGGAGTAGAGGCAGGAGGATTGCTGCAAGTTCAATGGCCTGGCCTCCATACATACATCTTATCTCTAAACACAAAACACTAGCATTATTGTAATGGGTATTTGTGATATAGTGTGTACCCTAATAAAGTTGCCTGGGGATCAGAGGACAGAGCCAGCCACTAGATTCAACATAGAGGCCAGGCAGTGGTGGCACACACCTTCAATCCCAGTACTGGAAAGCACACACACTTTTAATCCCAGGAAGTGATGTCTGGGCAGAGAAAGGTATATAAGGTATGAAGAAACAAGAACTCACTTTCTTGAGGCTGAGGATTTCGTAGAGGTAAGAACTAGTAATTGGCTGTTGTGCACTCACAAACAAGCCTGCAGGCTCTGGCTTGAGAAGCAGAGCCAGGGGATTCCCCCCGGGGCGGTCTGGAGAGCTAGACATAATATGAAAGGTAAACCATTGAGAACACTTTTGTAAATGGTATATCTGAAACAAATATAAGAGGTAAACATATTCAAATTGCTCTAGACTGTTAAGAACAATTGGACAAAAAGAGTTCTTGTAAAAATATCTATAGACAAATGTATACTTTAGTGACATTTAAAGGTATAGACTTTTAGCCTAGAGTCATAGCTCAGAGGTGAGGCTCTTGCCACTTGCCTCGTGTACACGGGGGCTTGGGTTCAGTCTTCGGCATTAAAACACTGAAAAACAGGTAACTAAAAAGAAACCAGAAGTGCAGAGATAGAAGAGCGGCATTGATTTGTCTTTGCAGCCTCTCCTGAGAGCCGTGCCTTGCACCAGTGCTCAGAAAGCATGCTCACCATCAAACAACACATTGTACTATCTTGCCCCCTGGATCACTCTGCCGGGATCACCACAACACAGGACTAGCAACTAGGTGTCTTAACCAACAAGCCCCCAGGTTCACTAGGCAAGAGACAAGAGCCTCATCACTGAGCTTATTTTCCCAAAGTTCTGGAGGGTGATAGCCAGAGTTGGGCACTGGCAAGACCTCTCTTCCCAGTCACTCACTGTGTCATTTTGTTTTCACATGTCATCTCCCCTGGTGGTCTCTGTTCTTCTCAGAGCGCTATTGCTTTAGGACCTCAGATCCTTTGATCACCCCCTCATAGGCCGTCTCCAGAAACAAAACACACTCGGGGGCAGGGCATCAGTATACAAACTCAGGGCCTATGTATGTGTCTGACACATTTCAGTCCGTGATACTTATCAGCACCAGCTCTGAGAAGAGGTAATCTGGTGGCTTACCTGCCACAGCTTTAGGTTATTCAATCTTTCTAAGCCACCAAGGCAGTGGTTCTCAACCTTCCCAATGCTGTGATCCTTTAATACAGTTCCTCATGCTGTGGTGACCCCCCCACCCCAACCGTAAAACTATTTTTGTTGCTACTCCATAGCTGTAATTTTTCAATTGTTATGAATTGTAATGCAAATGTATGATATGTAAGATATCTGATATGTGACCCTCCAAAGGGGTTGGGACCCACAGGTTGAAAACCACTTAACAGAGGAGAATCAGCTGCTGTCTTACATCTTTACACAGATGCACTTTGCTTCATGGATTCCTTATACAAGGCCTCATTTGAAAACTCACAATGAATGTGTACAGGTATCAGCGAAGCTAAGATGACCCTTTGGAACGAAAGAGGCATTCTCCTACAGCAGTGGGTAAGAAGTCTGGCTGTCAGACTCCCAGACAGGGGAGGAGGGCTTGGTAAAGAAGACACATCCACTGGAGTTTGGAGACAACGGTGTGAGAACCGAGGAAACCCTGTATAGATATTTCCTCAAGGAGAACAAGAGACTTGGCCTATAGAAGCTCACTTTTGATTGTCTCCCATGCTTAGGACTAAGCATAGAAAGCATAGGAACCAGATTCTGTACCAGGCCCCTCCTGTAAGAATAGGTCAAGAATTTAAACACTATGGAGTCCCCCATGTCCTTGTGTCCTCTTTAGTGAAGCAGGATGAGATCACTGTGAGGCACTCTCCCTTCACATGCTTGGTTCTAGAAACTGTACCACCTGTGTGAGGGAAGGCACGAGCTACTTTTCTCTTTCTAGAATACTTCATATATAACCCAGGAATGCCTCCCCTCCCCTCTCAGATGTCAGGGGGTATATAATGCCAAACCCCACCCCCAACATCATTAAATTCTGAAGTAGAATCTGGAAGCTAATATAATTTGAGAAGTAGTAAGGAAGAAAAACATCATACAAAACCCAGCAAACGGCCTTATTCCACAATGCCATCAAGTAGTTAGCTCATTTATTTAGAAGTCATTTAGTTTTAATTGCCCTAATGTGGTTTATGTAAAGCTTATGTTAGAAGAATGGACCAAATCTAAGTTCTATGTGTTTAAGACAGAATGTTTTCTTCACTAGCTCAGACTTTTTTTTTTAAGGAAATGCTGCTTTTAGCTTATTAGATAATTCAAAATATGTGCATTTACATGTAAAAAAGACATTGGTGCACTCACAAAACTGAGGGACAGGAACATGTTATACCAACATACAGCCATCATGCATGTTTAAGAAAGGAGATGATGCTTATGGACTAAATTCATCAAGTTATACAACTTACTCCACCTCTTTCTTGAAGAATCCCTTCTTTCCTCTTAGGATTTCCCGTAACCTCTGTCAGTCAGCATTATAAATATTATAAAGGGCGCTCTATTATGTATAAGAAAATTACTTTTCTTATTGTTATGACCAAATACCTGATAAAAGCAATTTAAGAAAGAAATGATTTGTTTTGGATCACAGTTTGAGGGTATAGTCCACTGTGGCAGGGAGGGTATACACCAGGAATGTGAGATGGTCACCCTGCATCCACAGTCAGGAAGTAGAGATAAATCCTGGCTCTCAGCTGGCTTTCTCCTTTTTTAAATCCAGGACCGTAGACCATAGGACGGTGCCACCAACATTCAAGATGGATCTTCCCTTTTCAGTAAAGGCTGTCTGGGAATACCTTCCAGGGATGTGTTTCCATGGGGATTCTAAATTCAATCGTTAACAATGAAGATTAGCCATCACAAATCTACCACTTGTCAACCTCACATTTCAAATATACCACTTTAAATCGTAATTTTATACTTCTGGTCACTAAAGTCTCACTTTCATCTCATAATGCAAAACACATTTAATCTATCTCTAGAAGTCCCTGTAGTCTTTAACAGTCCCAATAATGTTCAAAAGTCCCAAATCCAAAGTCCCTTCTGAGACACCATATAAGTTCCCAACTTTGAGTCTCTGTAAATAAGATAAACAAATAAACAACAAGTTACATCCAATATCCAGTGACAAAAAAGTAAGTAAACATTCCCATTGCAAAAGGGAAGAGTGGGGGATGGTGGTAGTTTCAATAGAAATGGATTTGTGTTTGACTGCTTGGTCCACAGGGAGTGGCACTAGGAGGTGTGGCCTTGTTGAAGAAAGTGTGTCACTGTGGGGGTGGGCTTTGAGGTCTCCTGTGCTCAAGCTACACCCAGTGTGGCACACAGTGTCCTTCTGCTGCCTGCAGATCAAGATGTAGAGCTCTCAGCAACTTCTCCAGCAGCGTGTCTGTTGGCATGCCACCATGTTTCCCACCATGACAATAATGAACTATATGGTAGTATTTTATTTGTACTGAAATGTGATTTTCATTGTATGTTAATAAATAAAGTTGCCCGGGGGTCAGAGCTATTAGCGCCATAGCAAGAGCGTGGCACTGGTGGCACATGCCTTTAATCCCAGCACTTGGTAGACAGAGTTAGGTAGATCTCTGTGTGTTCAAGGATACAGCCAGCATTGGAGACACACACCTTTAATCTCAATACCATAGAAGACCTGGAAGTCTCTACAGATAGGCAGCGACGAGGCAGTCATGTGTTTGGGTTTACAACCAATGAGAAGGCAGAACAGAAAGACTATATAAAGAAAAACACACAGGAAGTAGGTCCTTTTTGGAGAGGTCTCTTGGCTAGCTGCAGCAAGCAGGGAAGGCTCTTAGCTCTGATCTCTTGGCTTTCTTCTTTGCATTGGTTCTGTGTTTCTTATTTAATAAGACAATTGGTTATATCTACAAAACTAAACCTCTGAAATTGTAAGCCAGCCCCAATTAAATGTTTTCCTTATAAGAGTTGCCTAGGTCATGGTGTCTTCTCAGAGCAGTAAATCCGTAACTAAGACAGAAGCTGATACCAGGGACTGAGGTATTGTTGTGATAGGCCTGACCATGCTTGTGCTCGGAAGAATTTGGACTTTGGATTAGAAAAGCAGTTGAACACTTTAAGAGGGGCTTAATGAACTATCCTAGTAGGAATATGGAAGACTGTGGTGCTGAGGGTGATTTGAACTGTGGGAGCCTGGCTCAAGAGGTTTTACAGCAGAAGAATGTTAGTATGTGCCCTAGAGATTATTCTTGTGATATTTTGGCAAAGAATGTGGCTGCTTTTTGCCTTTGTGCAAAAAGTTTGCCTGAGTCTAAACTGAAGAGTTTGGGATTAATTTCCTTGGCAAAAGAAATCTCAAAATAGCCTAGTATTGACTCTTGTGTGGCTATTAGTGTTCATTCTTATGAAGATCTATAATGAGAAGGAGGAAGAATACAAAATGTATTCTTGGAGAAAAGGGGCACCAGGAAGTGAAATGGAGCTAAATCCTGTGTTCAAGGAGATAAATAGATTAAAGAAATGTTTGATGTTAAATAGAATAAAGGGAGTGGTGACCTCAGGGCAAGATTCCACCAGCTAAGCTTCCAATTTGTGAAAAGAAACTAAAGAGCCATGTGTGATAGTGCATACCTTTAATCTCAGTACTATAGAGGCAGAGGCAAGAGGATCTCTGAGTTCAAGGCCAGCCTGGTCTACAGAGCAAGTTCCCAGACAGCCAAGCTTAGAAAGTGAAGGAAACCATTGAAAACAGAAAACTGGTAAAGATGTAACTGAGCAAGGGGGCCATGTTCCAGCTCCAGCAAGCAGTAGAACTTGGCAGCTTCAGACACATGATACTGGTTTTAGAGTCAAGGACAGAAAGAATGGGTTATGGAATTTCCCTCCATGACTAAGGAAAGCTGCTGAAGACAGGTGTGTGGCAGGGGTTTCCCTGCATGGAGGTTCATAGAGACCATTGTGTGAAGCTATGAAGGTGAAACTTGGATTACCTTGGAGAACACAAAATTTTGGAGATGCCAGAGTTGTGGGATACCTGCCAAAAAAGGCAGCTAACAGGAGGTTTCTGAGGCTGGTGACCTCAGGGCAAGATTCTACCAGCTAAGCTTCCAATTTGTGAAAAGGGATTAAAGAAAAGCTCAGAGCCATGTGTGAGAGTGCATACCTTTAATCTCAGTACTCTAGAGGCAGAGGCAGGAGGATCTCTGAGTTCAAGGCCAGCCTGGTCTACAGAGCAAGTTCCCAGACAGTTAAGCTTAGGAACCTGCCCAAGAAAAAAGAAGTGTGCTGCAGTTGACAATGATAAAGGAAGCTAAAAATCTGAAGAGCGATTTGACATCAGACATGGGGTATAGTAGGTAGCCATTCCAGCTTGGATCTGGAAGTTCCAACCCCCATTGAGACTCTGGCAACTGTCACGCTTATGAGGAGGGGCCAGGGGAGGCGCCTGGAGACCCGAGAGCTGGATGGGTGAGTGCTGTCTCTGTGCCAAGACCCTGAACGGTGGAGGTGGACCGAGCTGAGCTCCAGAGAACACCGCTGGACTGCGATACACCTTCCCCAGACCCTGCGACCTACCTATCCCTTAATTTGTGAGTTATGCCATTAAATAAATATCCTTTTAACTACGTGGAGTGGCCTTAACAATTTCACCAATAATGGGGATGCAGAGTTTGGAGTTGGCCCAGCTGGTTTCCAGTCTTGCTTTGATCCAGTTATTCCTCACTATGCCCCCTTTCCTCAATTTTGGAATGGCAATGTATATCCTATGCCATTGATTGGAGGAAGTATGTGATCTACTTTTTGATTTTGATTTTATAGGGGATTACAGTTAAGAGATTGCATGAATATCAGAAGAGACTGTACTTTTAAACAGGGTTGAGACTGTGATGGACTATAGGGACTTTCGAAGTTGGACTGAATGCATTTCTGCATCTTGTTATGTCTACATGCCTATGGGAGCCAGGGAGTGGAATGTGGTGATTTGAATATGATTGCCCTCCCTTCCCATAGACTTATGTGTTTGAATGTTTGACCCACAGGGAGTGGCATTATTAGAAGGTGTGGCCTTGTCACTGTGAGGGTAGGCTTTGTGGTTTCATATACTCAAGCTAAATCTAGTGTGGCACACAGTGTCCTTCTGCTGCCTGCAGATCAAGATGTAGAGCTCTCAGTTCCTTCTCTAGCACCAGGTCTGCCTGTATGCCACCATGCTTCCTGCCGTGATGATAATGGACTGACCCTCTGACATTGTAAGCCAGCCCCAATTAAATATTTTCCTTTATAAGAGCTGCTGTGGTCATGATGTCTCTTTACTGCAACAGAAACCCAGACTAAGACTTACTAAGCTGTTAAGGAAAAATAGGATCAAAAGCAAGACTAAATGCCAGCAAAAAAAAGACAATAACTCCTACAGGTCCATATCTGAAATCTGGGCATCATGATGGAATCATCTAGGCTTCAACAGTTTTGGGAAGCCCCATCCTTCTAGTTTTCCAGTGGTTTGCACATCGAGCCTCTCTCTTAGGCTGACTCACCTTCATGCCTGCAGCTTGCCTTTCTGGGTGTACTATGGTCCTGTCATCTCCAACGTCCTGGTGTTTTTACTGTAACGTGGGCTGCACATCCTCAGTGGCATACGATGGTCTCTCAGGACCGGCTTGTAAGGAGTACAGCTCTGTTACTTATTGTCTGGCTTCAGGACCTTTCCGGAACCTCGCTGGAAGTTCCTGTGAGCACCTGCCTCACTCTTCTACATCTTTCATGCCTGCAAAACCAGTCTACATGAAGGACACTGCCAATTCTCCTGTCACTTTGAGAGGTAGCCTTGCCCTTTTGGGTCACAGTCACAGTTGTCTTTGTGAGGCTTTGAGGCCAACCCTGGGAAAACAAGTCCCCAGGGGGTAGTTTTTCCAGTGGGGTATCCCTGCAGCAGCCTTCTCCACAGTGACTCCCCTCTTTCAAATGAATTTGCATTTTCACTGGTTGGAGCCTTTGATGGATGGATCTTGCCCTGAGGGCACCTTTCCTATTGTTCCAGCACAGAACACTAGGTTTCCCTTTAATGGGGATAATCTATTTAACAATTACAGCTGCCTTTCCACAGTCTTGTCTGTAACTTTAACTTATTCATGCTACGTCTTTCCTCTCTTACAGAAGACCCAAAGGAGAGCAGCGAACAATAGCCATATCAGAGCCTGAATGCTGTGCCGTCTTGAAAATTCCCAACAAACAACTTAGTCTATTATCTTTGAAGTCATCCTCACTCATGTTCTCAAGACACTAGCAGAATACAGCCAGACCTTTGGTCAAATTATCACAGGGATGACCTCCAGCCCAGTTCCCACTAGTGTCCTCCCCTGAAACCTCAGGAGACGGTCTCTGCTTTCTGTTTCTTTTGCTAGCCCACATACCAACTCTCTCTTTCACTTCGTCTCTCACTCTTCTCTCTCTGATTTATTTATTTTGAGATAGAGTCTATGTAGTTCAGACTGTCCTGGAACGCACTCTGTAGACTAGGCTGGCCTCGAACTCACAGAGATCCGCCTGCCTCTGCCTCCTAAATACTGGGATTAAAGGTGTGCACCAACATGCTGGGCTCATACCAGTTCTCATTTTTTAAAATCATTTATTTATTATTTATTTATTTATCATTTACTGTGAGGAAATACCTGACCAAAACAACTTAAGGGAACAGAGTTTATTTTAGCTTACAGTTTAAAGAGACACCTCATTGTGGTGGAGAAGGAACGTGAGGTGGCAGGTCCCACCACATCTGCAGTCAGGGAGCAGAGAGGTGACTTCTGCCACTCAGTTCATTTTCTCCTTTTTAATCAACACGAGATCCTAGTCCACTGGATGGTACCACCACAGTT